AATGTCTAGTAGTGCCTTACGTGCAATAGTTGTTTAAATGTTCTGGAAATCTAACTCTTCTTCCAGAACGCGTCGTTTTAAGTTTATTTTCAGATACATTCGGAGTATCATTGCGTGTGTTGGTTGTCGATTGAGGAATTATGAGTGGAGTCGTGTCGTTCGATTGTACCGAAGGAAAATCGACGTAGATAGGATTTCTGTCTAAATACGCTGCTTTGAGGCGATCGATGCTGATGCTATCGTTTGTTCCGTTCTTATCGACTATATAGTACTTAGATTCACGTTGAAGAACTTTGAAGGGTCCTTCGTACACTGAGTCGAATGGTCGTCGATGCGAGTCTCGACGAATGAAAACGTGTGTACTATATCGTAAGTCAGGTTGAACGAAAACATCAGTTGATTGAGGTCGAGTGGAAGCAGGTTTAACTGAACGCATTGCGTTTGTAAGCCTGTTCGTGTAGGAGGTTAGATCCATGTTCATTGAAGAGGACGAAGGATCCACGAATTCTCCTGGAAGTCGAAGTGTCGTTCCATAGACGAGTTGAGCCGCAGTGTATCCAATGTCAACTTTCACTGCATTGCGAATACCTAGTAAGACGAGTGGAAGAGCGTCGGGCCACTGTGAAACGTTTGCAGATGATAGAGAAGCTTTTAGTTGTCGGTGAAAACGTTCTACCAACCCGTTTGCTTGTGGATAGTAGGCGGTCGTTCGGGATCAAGTGATTCCTAAAAGTGTGGTCAGACGACGGAAAAGTTCAGATTCAAACTGACGTCCGCGATCTGTAGTGATGGTTGAAGGGCAGCCGAAGTTTGTTACCCATCGTTCGACGGAGGTGCGGGCCACTGTTTCAGCAGTGATGTCCTTGATAGGTACTGCTTCTGGCCATCGAGTGAAACGGTCAACGCAGGTTAAGAGATATGAGTATCCATTTGAATCTGGTAAGGGTCCTACCAAATCCAGATGAACATGGTCGAAACGAGCATCGGGAGTTTTAAATGAGCCTAAGGGACATTTATTGTGTTTGATAACCTTAGATTTTTGGCAGCTTACACAGGAGCGTGCCCACTCCCTCACGTCTTTATTCATACCAGGCCAGCAAAACCGTTCTGCTATAAGCTTGGTGGTTGCTTGAACACCTGGATGAGAAAGTTTGTGCAATGTGTTGAATACATTGCGTCGATAATGTTTCGGAACGATTGGGCGATCCCTACCTGTAGATGTGTCACACAGTAAAGTTTCCTTACCTGTTCCCATCTGTTTGATGCCTAGTTTAAGGGTTGTAGACGATAACTCGTGCTGAAGATCACTGTCTTCTTTTTGAAGCAGAACGAGTTTAAGAAGGTCGATTCCTTGGAAACTGTTCAAGGAAGTTATGCGAGATAAGGCGTCTGCAACTACATTGTTTGCTCCAGAAATATGTTGAATATCTGAAGTAAACTGCGAAATGTAGTGCAGTTGTCGAGACTCACGGGGAGAGTACTTGTCAGAATGAGAGCTTAGGAGTATGTGAGCGGTTTATGGTCGGTGAAAAGAGTGAATTCATGGCCTTCGATATAGTGTTGGAAATGCCGTACAGCACAATACATAGCTAGGAGTTCCCTACCGAATGTGCTGTACCTTGATTCGGTGTCTAGCAACCTTCTAGAGAAAAATGCCAAGGGTTACCAGGAGTTGCTAACCCATTGTTGTAAGACTCCTCCGATTGCCGAGTCGGATGCGTCTACTGCGATGCTAATGGGTGCTTCGGTGTCCTGATGTGCGAGCATTGTTGCTTTAGCGATCAGTCCCGTAACTGTGGAGAGTGCTTTTCGTGCAGTGTCGTCCAAATTAATCGATTTCGTATTTCCACGAAGTTGGTCGGTAAGAGGTTTCATAAGCAATGAGCATTTCGGTATGAAACGTCAATAGAAACTTACCAGGCCGTTAAACGTGCGTAATTGCTTGACGGTGGTCGGTTCTGGGTAATCCAGAAATGCCGTCACTTTGATCCGAAAGGGTCGAATGCCTTGAACATCTATAGTGTGTCCTAGGAAGTTTAACAAGTCGGTCCCAATTTGGCATTTCTGAACGTCTACAGTAATGCCATGTTTTTGTAGTCGATCGAAAACAAGATCCAGATGCTTGTGATGTGTTTCTCTGTTCGGACTTGCGATTAGACAGTCGTCAACATACGCATGAACGAAGGTGAGACTTTGAAAAACGTCGTCTATGAATCTTTGGAATGTTTGAGCAGCATTTCTTAGACCGAAAGGTATTCGCAAAAACTCATAGAGTCCGAAGGGAGTTATGGTAGCTGTTTTCGGTATGTCGTCAGTAGCCACGGGGATTTGGTTATACGCTTTAACCAAGTCGATTTTCGAAAAAAACAGTTGTACCTTTCAAGGTAGCCGTCAAATCGTGAATGTGAGGCAACGGGTAACGATCGGGAATGGTTTTTGCATTCAATCGCCGATAGTCACCAGTTGGACGCCAGACGTTGCTGCCTCTTGTTCAGGGTCCATATACAACGGAGATGCATATGGGCTGTTTGACGGTCTTATGATCTCTAAGTCTACCATGTGATCGAACTCGTTTTTCGCCAACCTTAGCTTCTCAGGAGCTAGTCGTCGTGCTTTAGAGAATACGTACCTTTTGCCATACCGTTTGCCGCCTTTAAGTTTAGAGCCAATTCGTAAAACCGGTCGTTAGGATTTGCTGGGGAACGCTAACTTCTGCGCCAGTGTCGACGAGGTAGCGAACTCTCGTTGTCACATCTGTGACGTATAACAGACGGCTATGTTCGCCGGCTACGGTTGCCGTTGACGCGTGCCGGCTTGGAAGTTTCCCGAGTTGTTTTTCGAGTTGGTCGGTTTCGTGATGGGAAAATTGCAGGGTTTCCTGCAATTTCTGGAAAACTTTCCATACTGGTTATGAATCCAGCACCAGTCAGGGTTATCTGTCTCTCGTGATGTAGAGACAGATCGCTTAAGTGAAATGCTTCTACGTGGGGGTGTGCGAGCGATTACGGTCGTTACGAAAATTAAGATAACGCGTGAGTGTATGACATAACTCGGTTATGTCATTCTGAGTCGTTTGAGGCTTTTCTTTGACTGAAAATACCTCGGTAGTAGAGGATTTCGTAATTTCTAAAATGCGGTCGGCAGATGCAGCTAGCTCGTCTAAGGCGTTGTTCTGAAACGAGATCAGAACCGCTTGCACCTGTAGGGGAAGTTTAGACAAGAAGAGTTGTTTGAATAGGCCTTCGTCGAAAGTTCTTTGGCCTATAGCCTCTCTCATTCTTTGCAACATGTCCGTCGCAGAACCGTGCTGCAGGTCTATGGTATTAAGGAGTTGATCTAACCTTTGTCGATCGGTTAGGTCTCCTCGTTTAAGAATTGAACGTTTTAAGGTTTCGTAAGGTTCAGAAACATCACTAGTAAACATACTAGGTGTTACGTACCTGTTGAATTCCCGCGGTAGTGCCTCGACAACTGCGAGGAATTGTGCACGTGTGTTGTTCACGTCGTGCTCGTGGAAGTCGGCCTCTGCGTAACAGAACCAGGCTTCGATATTGTCGGGCCAGAAAGGCATGAGTTGGGACGAGGTTGGGGACATGGTTTTAATCTTAATTAACTTAGGAGTCTGTTCAGTCATAGGGGAATATTAAGTATGAGAATACGAGGGAAAAATATAGATATCCTGAAACACGGGGAAAAATATCACAATGTATAAAAATTAAAAAAATAAGGCAATAATATATAAAAATCCTAAAAAGGAACAGACTCACAGTTGTAATTAGGTGTACCAGATCACGTCGGTCTCAGCAATGAAGATGACACAGGTATTCCGTGTTTGACAACGCTTCTACCAGTAACACCTAATATAATTCGTAACCACCCAGAGAAATCAAAAGACAGAGTCGAGGAGATTGGAAGAGTGTATTTGGCGATAACCAAAATATCGGAATTCTCTGATCTAATCTGGCTAGCGATTGCGGTTGATGTTGAGCACGGCGTCACCACACGTGATCTGGTGCGGATGTCTGACCGAGCGCCTTCAGCTAGATGAGTCCACTAAAACATATGATCAGCATCCAATGTCGGAAACTTACAGGGCTATTTATTTTGGGGATTTTTTTACCGCTACAAGTGCGTTGGTGGCTGTGTATGTCTGTTACGTGGTAGGCGACTTTTAACATTGAGTAGGCTGATAATATTGTCTTACTGGTCGATTATACGGAGTATCCAAATGGGACTTAACCATTTGGTAATATGTCTGAGAGTACGGCATATACTCTACACCTGAATACAAAGTACTGGGAGACTGGCAGAAACTTGTGTCTGGATTCTGTTTTTGATCCGTTTGTCACGGATATTTATCAGACTTTTCTATCTGAATTAGCATATTTGCCATAATATTTGACCATCCTTTCTTGTTAGATATCTCATCCTTTAGTCAGCCATTCAGTTTTGTGATTGATAAAGTAACTACTACTGTCAAGGTCACATTTCAACCATAGACAAATATGAATACATTAACAGTATTGCTTAGACGTGGTTCGCAGAAATAAGCATGTGACTTATTGAATTCTACACAGTTGCACTTGACCAAACGCCTTTTTGTGACTTGAGGATTTCTTAATGAGCATACTAAGGTCGGCCAACATTCTTTGCGCAGCCTTCTTTATGTATAGCAGGGTTTCTACTAATCAAGTTATTGACACCTACTAGTGTCTAGGTCCTAATCTTTATTAACCAAAAGTGATTTAGTGGACCAAGGAAGACAATATAAATTCAGTTTATAGAATGTTTCCGATCCTCCAAACAAAAGTAAAATTATCCTAGTAAATTAGAGATTACTTTTATGAATGCGTGCTCATTAGTGATATTTTGCTCATGCTGGCCACTTTTCTCCATCTTATAGGTTATGCAGTTTTGACTGGATATCGTTTCACCTACTGAACTTGTATCTATTAACAATTTGTCTGCTCAAACTGAGGTAGGTATGGCAAAGTCTAAAGACCTGTTCTTTTGTGATAGCCATCTTTTTTCATTCACATCTACATAGTTTGGTGACGTTATCTTCAGATACTTGGTTTTAAACGCCATCTAGCAGATTCATTTGTGTTTTATGTAATAGGTTAAATAATCAACTGAGATTAAGATATTTATTAAGTGTATATTCCTTGATCTCACTTCATACCAAGACAGCTATTTAAAGGACGTTGGAGTGAATTAAGTTCATAAATTATCTTTTTACCTGCGATACTTTGGGACGTAATCCTTGTCTATTACCGCACTCCTTTCTCGTCTCATTATTATGTATTATTTATTCATACACATAAATATTAGTACAAGGATACACCAAGTATAAATGCGCCACATATATCATTAGATTTATGTAAGGGCTGGGATACTGTCCGGGTGCCCAAATCGAAGCAAATGGTTTTCTTATAGGGCCACACTCAGAACCTTCGACTTAAAGGTCTGATCCACAAGACAGTATAGCAACGTCAGGAGATGCAGTCCCATGATAGCTGGTGATCAACAGTTGGTTCATATGGCATTTGTTCTTTCAGGATCCTGGAGCCAGCCCATGTGCACCATTGGTTAAGAATCAGGGTTTCCCAACTCCCCTAGGTAGACTCTCCGTGTCCACTAACTCGGTTAAAGCGATGGACATTCGCGTTTCTTCCTCTCAACCTCGTATACAACACCCGTGGTGCAAGGTAGTGAGTAGGACTTCCCTGGTAGTAGTTGTATGCGCGTGGTCACTTGAGAGCACTCAGCCGTACCAGGGCATTTAGGGGCTTTCCATTCGCTCCTTATATCCTGTTGAAACGTTATTTGTGAGCTTTTTGTTGGGATTTGACCTTATTACTTAACATCTTCGAATTACCAAAATTATCATTTTACAGCCATTCATAAACGATGTAGGACCTGGGACTAGTGTGTCTTTTAAAGATACCCCAACGCCTATCGACAAATCGAGAGATTAAAGTGGTCAGTAGGAAAGTATAAGAAGTAATAATATAATTTGCGGTAGGTGGTAAACGTGAGATAATTTTGACGAAGTGTATAAAACCAAAGAGTTATTAGTATGGAATAGGATACACATTGAGGTAAGCACCGGATTGAGTCACATGGCCACAGGAAAAGTGGAAGACAAAAGAACACATTACGCTTAGAAATGAAGACAGACCTGTGAAGAAGGAATAACAATTGGATAGCACTAGAAAGGAAGGTCCAGGACAGTGGGTTGGAGAATGCTGGTCGGCGACTTATGCTCCAGTGTGAGTAACAGGCGTAAGCTAGTAAGTAAGTAAGAAAATTCGCTGAAAGTCAATAAAGTTTAGTCGGAATTAATAAATACTAAAACACTAGTATTAATTGAAAAGATCAATCGAATATGATATCATATCACCTCTGACCTATCATTAACTTTCATGGATTTCCCTGTTTTCATCAATCAGTTGCTCATGTTCCTGAACCCCAGCCATCCTTTGATTATCAGTCAGATGTTTTCATATTTTGATTAGCCGAACATCAAGATGTGTTAAAAAACTATTTCATCATGTGCTAAAACTTCTTAACAACACTAACATAACTTAAAGCTTCGTATCATGGGCTTTTATCCCTATCACTCAATATTAATTGCATAATTTACGTTTACAATCAAAATAATCTCGACACGAGTTTTTTCATAGCGAAAACTACCCTGGAGAATTAGTAGAAATAGTATCTTCTCTCTAAATGTCACTTCTGTAAAATCTTGGTGTATGCGTTTGAAGTCATACCCACTTCTGTTGTCCTCAACTTATTTATTCATTTCATCTTCAAATAATTGTCCCAGGTGATTTTTGCGTTGGTGTTCATTTGATCGAAAAAGCTTATGCGCCAGATGTTGGTACTCGAAGTTCATTTGCAGGTAATTTATTCCAACGTTTTTAATTTGTATTTACTTCTACAATAGATTCGATTTGAACATACTTAGTATTACTTCCTATTGTTGTTAGTTCTTAACACCTATTACAATTGATAGGTCCAACGTAGAGGAACTGATTTTTGTTGAGACGAAAAATACAGCTAAACAGACAGCATTTGATTATTGTGAATACTTTAGTAAATTCCAAAACCGTCCGTCCCATGTGATAGGATACTCTTGATTTATGTTTATTCCCTCAGTATTCATCAAATATGTTTATAAAAGGTGAAGTGGTTACTCGTTAGTTAAGATGATAGTCAAGGTTTATTTATTGGTTCACTTGAAGCAGAATTTATTATATAAGGTTAGTGCTACTGAGCTCTTATTTGCACAAAAAGATGAAAAGGAGCGGATGATTATGTCTAAAGAAATGTGGGGACTTTGATAATCAATATCACAGATGTTAAGATAAATTGCCTAAACTTTTTGTCTTGTGTAAATGTAATTTCTTAACTCTTTCTTATTCTCTTTTAACCGAACATAATATGAATTCTAAATTCCATCTATCCATTAATTTATAAAAGCTATTCAAATCACTTTATAAGCTTTTACTTCCCTTACTCTTACGTTATCAAAAGATATAATCATTACTGTCTCCTTCTGTTCACTAGCTATATTGATTTCAAGAAATGGACTGTATAATAAAAAAATGCAGTAAAAGTCTCATTAAGTACATCAATAAACATTGTGACTACGAGATATCAATTTTGTCCAAGTTACCATCAATCGTTATTGCTTTTCTTGGTATCAGTCTATTTCTACATGGTTTTTTATTGAATCGAACTGAGCTCTACAATGAGACAAATGAAAAATTGAAATTATCATTGAATTATCCTTCAACTGTTGCTAGAAATGGTCGAATTATCCTTTTACTTGTTGATGCATTGGGTTATGCACTTATACAAGACAATAATGAAAATAACCAATTATTACGTGGTCATATTTCATCACATTCCCAAAATCGATATCATCCACTACTTGATAGTTTATCTAAAGCGGTATTTATTGGGAAGTTTGTCGCAGACCCGCCGACAACCACGTTACAACGTTTAAAAGCTCTAATGACAGGAAGTATGCCAACATTTATAGATGCAGGTTCAAATTTTGGCGGAAGTAAAGTACTGGAAGATAATTTACTAAAACAGTGGAATAGAGCTGGAAAACAAATTCGATTTGTTGGCGATGAAACTTGGATTGATCTATTTCCCGATAGGTATGTCGATTGATGTCATATATTTGTTTATTTTATCGTGAAGTTCTTAATAAAACGTATGATAGTTATCATGCCAACATTTCATAATTAGCAATAAAAATGAGCTTTACATTCATCTACCGAACCACCATCACCATCACTGTAACTCTCTACTTAGTTATTTGCCAATATACAATGTCATTACAGTTTTACTCTCCAAAGGTCTGACCGATTTTGATCGAATAAACAATCTTACTTTAACATCTGCTAGACGGACCAACAAAATACATACAATAATAATATAATGACATTAAATTAATAAAATCATTAGCAGTAAATCATGGATACAAATTTACCTGTATAAAATTCAATACCATACCCTGGTGAAGGTCAGCACCATATCCTAGCAGATGACCATATAGTATGCCCAAATTCGAATAGGGTATTGGAACATTAGTTAGAAGTGATAAAGTTGGGACAAGATCTATTTGATATAATCGTTTATTAGTTTGGTTCTCTGAATCATCTTTTATCACAAGAGAACTCTGATTAGCAGTAAAAACAATGAAAGCAGCTTCCAGTTCTGCATCACTATCTCCACCATGATCACCTGAACGTGTCATTCCATGGTCACCCAAAATAAATAGAACATCGGAAGATTGAAGTTTAGAAACAATACGTCTAAAAAGAAATGCATACGGGTAGAGGAACAAACCCAGACAACAATGCAGTATATATAAATATGGATGCAAATCGGTGAAAACATCTAAAAATAATTCTGAAAGTCAACGTGATCTTAAAGAAATGTTACAAATTTGGATGGTTTGGAAAGTAGCCTCACCTCACTTCGAGTTGGTCTTAAATAGCTTCACACGAAGAGTTAGTGTAGACGAAGATTAGTCCCAGTCTAGTAGAAGTATTTTTGCAATTCGATGATGCAAAGCACGTATATGGCATAATCATGGACGCTGTTCGTCAAATTGGTTGAGTGTGATTCCGGCAAACTTTATCTGATTGTACATTAAGACGACATAGCTTGTACAATTAAGACGGAAAAGTTTTTCCCATGTAACAGGCTCCAAGTCTATACATTACCACTACGTACATTCTCCAGAATTGTATCGATGGATGAAATTTAAAGATAAATGGTGAGACGGAGTAACTCTATTTAGCCTCATTAATGAGTTGGAACAATGTACAGAGTTAGCCATATGCACTCATTTTGTATGTGGTGATTTTGTGCAGAGCTTCCAATATGTTAATAGACTTTTCAGGTGCATTTAGAGAATAGTAATATTCAGAGAATTGAGTGCAACCACAATGTCAAGAAACAAACCGACTGTAGGTTTGTGATAGTGTTCAAGGATTTGTCGGAAGGTAGGGTCACAGGACTGATACATTCAAAATCTCGATGAAAACAGGTCAATTTCTCATGAGTCAGTTCTTCGGGTTTTCCACCCAATTTGTTTAGTATGAAAATAGCCAACATTTTTGACGCAAAATAAAAGATTAATGATTGTCATCCACATTTCACAGATCATTTTTGAAGGTGATCAAACACATGAGCATATTATTTACCGATACCAAACCTCTCGCTACCAGTGACTTGCATAAAGTGCTGTTTCTCGCTCGACTATCGAATTTTGCTGTTTGTTGGTCAATTGTGGTAATTTTCGTTTGATGTCCCGGGATGTAGTTTTGAGCACAGAGTTCTTCAGAATAAATTTGTCAGAAATTTCCGCAAATTTTATTTTTCATTCTCTTACTGTTTTATTGAGTCTTGTAAGTCAAATCGATTATTATTCAAGCCGTTTGTTTAGTTTATATTCAGCTTAAAGGTTTTCAGATTCCGATGTATTTGTTTTGGTGTTTTAGCTATACCCCCTAGTTCACTCTCAATGACTGCATTAATTTGGCAACAAAATTCTTGCTATTTTCTAAGCCAAACTCTTAATGACATTTCCCGTTATTTAATCTGAGGACAGTTAGTTCCCACTAGTTATCGAAATAATTTTGTTGTATGCTTTACTTACAGTCACTTCAGTGGCGTATGTAGTTCGTTGATGATAATATTGTGGTGTGTTCTTATATCGACATAAGTAGTGTATAACGCTAGTCGGGAATAGAATGTCTGGCAACGGAAGGTCAAGAAGATCGAGGGAGAAAGAACGGGAACAGAAAGCATTTAGTATGGAAATGCAGAAACAATGAAGTCTAAGACGATTGACTGATATTTGCAAAAGGAACAGTCAAGTTTGATCGACATTTTGCAAATTAAGTATTTTACTGTATAGTTCTCAGATCTTACTAAGATGTTCTGCAATTTTGTGTTCAGATACATCCGATTGTCCCCACTTGTATTATCGTTCACTGCACTATGATCCAAAGCGTTTGTTTTAGGAGCTGACTAGCTGGGGTTATTTTTAAAAATTGATTGCTTTGCTATATTGTTTCATCCTTCCATGAGTATTTACAGGGATAAGATCTATTATCTCATGCCTCATGGAAAATGGGTAAAAGCTTCTACGTAGTTGCATTTGGAGGATTCGCATGTTATAGTGATAATTTTTGATCGTTTTGTGATTTTCATGAGAGGTTTATGGCATTTTGAGTGCGCACTTATGTTTTGCTTCATATCTTTCTTTCTAAGAACTAATTCTTTCTTCCTGTACTATATCCTTATATGCAATATTTCTTTTATATATTACCGCCATTGGATTAACTACTTCTATAAATCCGGTTGTCATCTTGCTGTGTTAATGAAGTATGGGAACTTGAACCGATGCACATGTGTGCCTGGTCCTACTTCGTAGCCGACTGCCTGACTGACTGCACTTATATTAGATCAATAGTATGATATGATATAATTATTCAACTATTTCCAGTTGCCTATTCTATTAATTATAATAAAAAATACTTGACATAGAGTGGTTAAAGCATGTTTACCTTCAGTACAATATCATTACATATTCGTAACATTGACTTATTACTAACCTAGTTGTGAATACATGCAGATTATGCTATTTTTGTGACTCACTGTTGATATATACATTGCTTTTCTTGTGCATATATATTCTCGTCAGTGTATTCTCTTAATTTTTTGTTTCAACACACAGTTTCAGTCATTATAAAGCTTATTCATCGTTCAATGTGAAGGATTTGGATACAGTTGATCGAGGTGTTGAAAACTACTTTCTCTATGCCCTTAACGGTACTGCATGGGATTGGGATAATGGAGTTGTTGACAGTCAAACACCACAAACTGATTGGGATATTCTTATTGGACATATGTTGGGGATAGATCACTGTGGTCACACATATGGACCTGCACATCCAGAGATGACGCGAAAGCTAAATGAACTAAACAGTTTTATAAAGTCAGTCGAAATTTTTTATTATCATATATTTTCATGGGTTAATAATTGTCGTTTAATATAGTGTAACTCATTTATCATGTGTAGGTTTGCATACTTCAGAGCAAAGGCATTACTAGCGGAATGAATCTCCATTAGCATTCATTTGTATGCTGTTAGGTGATACGGAGGGTCCTATCAAAGTGAGGAGAAACTGGCATAGGAAATGATGTTTCTTTATAACTTCCACCTTAGTGGGTTGTCCTGTGTGAGAATTATCGAGGTTATAAGTTTTCTCTCTAGTGCTTCATCTTCAGCCAAACTCTAAAGCACCCTCCACCTATCGCAGAACAATGGTCATTGTGTTCCTTAATGTCGAGGTCACCTTCATTTCGTTGGATGGGATTAAACTATCATGGGTATTCATGCAAGGACAATTAATATCTGAAAGGATTTTTACACAAATACCTCAAGAAGAGTGAGAGCATATAACCACCTCTCTCTATTGTTCGAACCCAGTAATCAGTTTAGACAGATCTGCCCAAACTTACTATTCTTCATGTTTCCAACTGATGGCATTCTAGAAACAGCTCGGAAGAGAATGTGTTAGTGTTTGTGTATAGCTATAACCTGGAAGGCCTTCTCATGACGGGGCTGTTGTTTACGAAATTGAGAGAACGAAAAGCGAATGTCCGACGCTTGAGAATTTGACCCGTTTTCATCGAGATTTTGAATGTATCAGTCCTGTGACTCTACCTTCCGACAAATCCTTGAACACTATCACAAACCTACAGTCGGTTTGTTTCTTGACATTGTGGTTGCACTCAATTCTCTGAATATTACTATTCTCTAAATGCACCTGAAAAGTCTATTAACATATTGGAAGCTCTGCACAAAATCACCACATACAAAATGAGTGCATATGGCTAACTCTGTACATTGTTCCAACTCATTAATGAGGCTAAATAGAGTTACTCCGTCTCACCATTTATCTTTAAATTTCATCCATCGATACAATTCTGGAGAATGTACGTAGTGGTAATGTATAGACTTGGAGCCTGTTACATGGGAAAAACTTTTCCGTCTTAATTGTACAAGCTATGTCGTCTTAATGTACAATCAGATAAAGTTTGCCGGAATCACACTCAACCAATTTGACGAACAGCGTCCATGATTATGCCATATACGTGCTTTGCATCATCGAATTGCAAAAATACTTCTACTAGACTGGGACTAATCTTCGTCTACACTAACTCTTCGTGTGAAGCTATTTAAGACCAACTCGAAGTGAGGTGAGGCTACTTTCCAAACCATCCAAATTTGTAACATTTCTTTAAGATCACGTTGACTTTCAGAATTATTTTTAGATGTTTTCACCGATTTGCATCCATATTTATATATACTGCATTGTTGTCTGGGTTTGTTCCTCTACCCGTATGCATTTCTTTTTAGACGTATTGTTTCTAAACTTCAATCTTCCGATGTTCTATTTATTTTGGGTGACCATGGAATGACACGTTCAGGTGATCATGGTGGAGATAGTGATGCAGAACTGGAAGCTGCTTTCATTGTTTTTACTGCTAATCAGAGTTCTCTTGTGATAAAAGATGATTCAGAGAACCAAACTAATAAACGATTATATCAAATAGATCTTGTCCCAACTTTATCACTTCTAACTAATGTTCCAATACCCTATTCGAATTTGGGCATACTATATGGTCATCTGCTAGGATATGGTGCTGACCTTCACCAGGGTATGGTATTGAATTTTATACAGGTAAATTTGTATCCATGATTTACTGCTAATGATTTTATTAATTTAATGTCATTATATTATTATTGTATGTATTTTGTTGGTCCGTCTAGCAGATGTTAAAGTAAGATTGTTTATTCGATCAAAATCGGTCAGACCTTTGGAGAGTAAAACTGTAATGACATTGTATATTGGCAAATAACTAAGTACAGACTTACTTTACTTTATGTGATACATATTTAGTATCCCAACAAACTAGTCTTTTGTATGACAAGATTGAAAACAATGCTAATTAATGCGATTCTGTATATTAGCTGAGATTTTGAAGCTGTCAGACTATTATTATCATTATTTAAACACATAAACATTGGTACGAGGTGGCACCAAATATATGCGACACATAAATCATTTGATTTGTGCCGGGGCTAGGATACTGCTCGGGTTCCCAAACTGAAGCAGGTGGTTTTATTAGGGTGCTACACCCGGGGACTTCGACCTAAAGGTCTTATCCACAAGGCAGTGGAGCAACGTCAGGAGATGCAGTCCCATGATAGCCGGTCACCAACGATTGGTTCATACGCCACTTGTTCCTTCAGGATCCTGGACCCCATATTCTTTTCTGTTTTGATATTGTTATTCCTCATGGTCACCATTGGTTTGAAATCAAGGTTTTCCAACTTGTCTAGGTAGATCCTTCATATACATGAACGCGGTCAAAGCACCGGATATACGGCTTTCGTCCTCTCAATTTCGTAAAAAGCACCCCCGACACGAGAGGTCAGTAATTAGGACTTCTCTGGCAGTGGTTGTATGCACGTGGCTATGTGTGAGCAGTTCGAGAGGGAGAGCTGACTCTCTCCACTGTCGGTCGTATCAGGGCATTCGGGGGCGCATAATTTCCGTAGTCTTAATGTAATTGATTTATTATTTTATTACACTTTTAATATATTGGCCTGTTGTTATGACAGTATGAAAGGTCAAAATTAAATTGATTTATTCTTTCTGATTTTTGGTCCAACATTAATTCTGTTTAATTCATTTTGGCGATCACTCAGTATAGTATTTGTTTCAATTTCCCCTATGACATTTTATTCTTGTATGAAGTATTTTCATGTATGTGATTTATTCTGATTATTGGTTGTACAAACCAATACATAAATGAGTGTATTTTCGACTAGACGAGTCGGGATCTCTTGTGGTTCTGGCTGCTTGCGAAATATATTTCTCTATTCGAATTTCGACTACTGTTATAATTCTCTCTTATTACAACCTAGCTATTCCCATTGTTCCGTATTCTCGGTGACCAGTTTATTCGACAAGTCTCCAAATCAGAACACGATTGAACAGGAAAAGAGATTATGTCCCAAATAACAAGATTAGATGAAAGTAAGAAGCATAATAGGAAAAACGTCAGTATATTTATAGTTTTTACATGAAAAGATTCTAGAGTGTTCCCCAAGTATCGACTAGCGCTGATTGGCTAATACTTATCCAATCAGCGTGCGCCAACGCAATCGTGCATTAAGCATGCTTTATTCCAATCTATGTCCCGCTAACAACTATTCTCTTTAGTTAACGGGGCTAGAATCCATCAGAATACCTAGCTTATTGGTCTTTGGTCATAGTCTTTGTTCCATTCTCAGACTAGGTGAACTCGTAATCGCTTCCAAACATAGCACCTGTATATAATGTTTTACCATTTCATTTATTTTTCACTAACTCTCCTTTACAGATGTTCACTTATACTGCAAATTATTTTTATAATATAAGCAAATTACCATTATCTCCTATACTTATGTCTTATATGAATCGTATTATATTCAATTCAACTTATGATTGGATAGAACAGTTCAATGATATACAATTAATAAATATACTTAAAGAATTACAATTCATATTTCGTATACATTGGACTCAATTCAATGATTCATTGATATTCTTTGGTATCCTTTTAACATGTTACAGTTTGATTACTCTTCTATTATTGATTGAAAAGATTTCCAATACTTCAATGATACATATCCATAATAGTTTCTTATTGTTTACATGTATTTTATCGTTTTTTTCATGTATAAATATATACTACTTAAATCTTTTATTATTCATCCTAGTCTCATATGTTATCATTAAACACTATAAGTTTTCAAAGTTGATATTCAATGGTAACTCTATCGGTTTTTTGTTACTATTCTTATTGTCTTTAAGTTATTTATCAAATAGTATGATTATCTATGAATTTCATATCACTTTCTATTTCATTCAAAGTTTAATTGTTATATCTCTATTTTGTTCATTCATTCATATCATGGATCATACTGATATTATGACATGGTATAACTTTAAATTTTTACGAAGATTTTGGTCTTTTCCTTGTCTTCCATTTATGATGATACTTTATTCTGGTATATTGTTATTATTTCGTTTATTGATTAGACATTTTCTAATTTGTCGTGAAGAATTAAACTATAGTTCTATATGTCGATCTATACTTGATCCATGGATTAGTAAATCTTTGAATAAATTAAATCCTATTCATGAATTTCATCCAATTAGTTGGATACGTGTAACGTTTGCTTGTTTCATGTTAATCATTTGTTTACGTATGTATTGGCGGTTGTTGTTTGAATATCTAAATATATATATTGGTGTTAATCAATCGAATAAAGTTAGTTGGAGGAAATTATGTGTATTTATATTAATTGGTAGTTTATTGTCTTTATTATGGATGGTGGATTCTGCGGAATCAACGAATTGGATTGGATTCATTCCAAAACGTAAATTGTAAGTTATTCTCATTTCATTTCCTTAGAGTGGATGAGACAACTATGTGATATTTTCTTATTTTCTATTTTTCAAATCATTTGTGTTTGTTGGAAAAAGTGACTACATCTAGTCTTGTAAAAAAGCGCTTATAAGCCATTCATCTGAATATCGTTATTGTTATTTGTCATTGGTACGGTCGACGGTGAAGAGAGTTAACTCTCCTCGAAATAGTCTCAGATGGCCACGCGTGTACAGCCACTACGATGGGAATCCTACTCACCTTCTTGTGGCGGGGGTGTTGTTTACGAAATTGAGAAAACGAAAAGCTAATGTCCGGCGCTTTAACCGGGTTGATGTATTTGGAAGATCCACCTAGACCAGTTGGAAGACCTTTGTTCCAAACCAATGGTGCACATGGGCTCCAGGATCCTGAAGCAACAAATGGTGTATTAACCAATTATTGGCCACCGGCTCCCATGAGACTGCATCTTCTTACGTTGCTCCACTACTCTGTGGACTAGACTTTTAGATTGAAGGCTCCGGATATGGCCCCTTGAGAAAACCATCTACTTCTGTCTGAGCACCCGGGCAGTATCACAGCCTACACACAAATTAAGTGGTTTGTTTAGCGCATATGTATTCAGTGCCCCTTTGTACCAATATTTATGTGTTCAACTAAATATATAAATTTGTCATTTGGCCATAGTTACTCTAGATTATTGTTCTGTCTTATTCTAGAGGTTCTCAATATTAAACAGCATACTTGTTATTTGTTTTATTTTATTTTATTTATTTATTTATTTCAACACATAGATATTGGTACAAAGAGGCACCAAATACATATGCGCCACACAAATCCCATTCGATATGTGTGAGGGCTGTGATACTGCCCGGGTGCCCAAACCGAAGCAGGTGGTTTTCCCAGTGGGCCACTCCCCGAGCCTTCGACCTGAAGGTCTTATCCACAAGGCAGTGGAGCATCGTCAGGAGATTCAGTCCCGTGGTGGCCGGTGACCAACAATTGGTTCATACGCCATTTGTTCCCGCAGGGTACTGGAGCCCATGTGCACCATTGATTTAGTTTGGGATCCGATGAAAGCGCCGGTCATTCGCTTTCCATCCTCTTAATTACGTAAACAACATCCGCACCGTGAGAAGAGTGAGTAGGACTTCCCTGGTAGTGGTTGTATGCACGTAGCCACTTGAGAGCATTTGGAGAGGGATAGCGGACCCTCTCCATTCACGGCCGTATCAGGGCATTTGGGGGCAGATTTTAAAGTGCCCATAGCACTAGGCACTAGGCCTCGACTATATTAAGTCAAAACTGAATCCTATATAATCATATGATCTTGAACATTTTGTAAACTTAGTTCCATAAATCTCTCTACCCTCTTGTCTCTTTTTGTTTCCAGTTTGAAACATCTAATCTGGGGAATCAGCTAATGTTAAACCGGCTAAATTATTTGTCACATCTTAGTTAGCGGAAAAGCATTTTAAAAAAAGAAAACATCTAATAATAACTGATAATATTATGGGATAATTTTTTCACTTACAATTGATAATATTTAGGTAACTCGTGTTTCAGTTATACCATCAGGTTATGAAGAGAAAATTGTGAAGTTATAATCATTATTTATAAGTTGAAAGTGTACAGTTTCGACAAAATAGCTTAGTTGTACCATTTGTAAATGAGGCGGTGATGAAAGCGAATCGAAATCTCCCAAATCATAAATCCTTTTGTAGATTAGTTTTGTTAATTAGTGTAAGTGTGAAATCCTGGTTCTCCTTTGATTACCGCTAAGACATCTACATCCCGACTGTTTATTATTCAGGTTTTTAAACACTTAAATTCTATCTATCCTAATCTTGCATCAGTGTTTTATCATCCGACTAAATGAGTACTTTTTTTTCTTTGCTGAAGATGAGATCATTTGATACTCTCTAAGTATATTGAATATTGAATGGTACATTTTATTTGTCTAGGCATACAGTTCGGATTTGGATTGCTCGCATTTTCTTGATGACTATATTCTACATATTTTTTCAACTTTTGAAATCTCCATTTCAACTTATTCAACAGACAAATTTTATAAAATCTATGCAGTCAAATGATTGTAATCAATCCATTCAAAGAAGTGTTCTCTATCTGTACACTTTATGGACAATGACCTGTTTAACAGTTTTACCATTACTTTCTCTACTTGTTTTCCTAAATGAATTCCATATAATTTGGTTAGTTTTCATGATTATATTCGTTCAAATACGTATACATGCAACTACTATAAAATGTAATCATATGGATAAATGTATTAAAAGTGAGTTTAATATTATAATTTACTCAAATATACAATGTACTAAACATTCTTTTTATTCATTAATTACTTAAGTTAGGCTAAATTGACCTTGCAAAAAGGTGTAAAGCTATTAACTCATAGAATGTTAAAAAATGATTCTATTAGCTACTTTCAGATGTTTTCAATTAGATGAGATAAATGGTCCCAAGTGCCCTGGCACGACCGAGAGTGGGGAGTTAGTTATCAAAGAATATTGAAACTCATTTATTCAGTTAGTCAGCTACAACGTAGGACCAGTCACATATATGCATCTGTCCAAGTTGCTGCACCTCACCAATTAGCACAACAAGATGAACACTGAATTCATAGAAGTAGTAAATTCAATGGTGGTAATCTATAAAAGAAAGATTGCATATAAGGATATAATACAGAAAGAAAGAATTCGTTCGTAGAAATAAAGATATGAAGCAGTTTTGATCTCGTAGTTTAAGGGAAGACAAAGAGTGTATACACCTACACCATTATGATCGATTCCGAACCATGTCACTGAGTCTCCAACCATTGGTCACGATAGTCACGCGGACCCCAACCAAGTAGTCTGCATCTACCAACATGGCTCAGTCTAGAAGTTAGTGACTTGAAAGACTGATGCAACGTTTTGGTTTGGCCGCCCCTAACTTTCTTCCAACCATTCCCAACACTATTCAGCATTGCGCGTCGTGGTAATCGCAGTTCAAGCATACGTAACACGTGGCTTAACCATCTCAGTTGATGAAGATTCACAGCCTCATCAACTGATTTACCATCATTCCCTAATATCCTGCGCCTAATCTTACTGTTACTTACCCGGTGGTCCCAGCAGATGCGAGCAATATTTCTAGGGCATTTTTATCAGATACTAGTAAATTACGGGTATCTCCTACTCTTAATCACCACGTTTCGCAGCCGTAAAGTAGAACAGAACGAACTGCCGTGCAGTACACTCGTCCGTTAATTGATAGACGGATATCTCGCCCTCGCCATAGGTGACGTAAGTTGACAAAAGCCAAACGAATCCGTGCTGATATTTCGTCAGACACCGACCCATTAGGGCTGATCAGAATTCCAAGATAAGTGAAGTTGTCGACGTGTTTGACTACTTCACTCCCTATCCTTAGTTCAGGTTTTGACAAAAGCCAGTCCTGAATCAACAACTTGCATTTAGAGGGTGTGAAACGCATCCCAAACATCCTGAAATTGTTGTTCAGTGCTATTAAAAGACTACATTTTATCAGCGTCTTTACCAAGCAGGACTATGTTATCTGCGTATTTTAGATCGATACGTAGACTTCCTGGAGGGAGATCAACGCCCGAGAATTCAGTCGACGAGAACGTTGTTTCCTGTTGTAGGTCAATGATGAAACTGAAAAAAATGGAGAAAGTGGACAGCCTTGACAGACACCACTTGAGTTTGCAAAATTAGATGACAGTTCGACTGGCAGTGATGGAGTAAAGAGCGTTCACAAGGTTTATGTACTTCTAAGGTATGCCTTTCAATGACGGACAGTGCCACAGAACCGAGTCAAATGCTACTTTTAATTCACGAAAAACTATCATTGTCGACGCTGATAAGCATGCCTTAGTTCTAAAATCTGACGACCAGGTCTGGAGCCAGCCTGATTTTCTCTTGTTTGCAGTTCGCGAATCTTTATTAGGCGTTTGATAATTACTGGGGCTAGTATTTTAGATGGTATATTAGTTAAACTTATCTTTCTATGGTTATCACAGGATGAGTTTTACTTCTTATATATTGGGACGATCAGTGATTGAGACCAGTCAGATGCGATTACATCCAGTTCCCAGATTTTAGCTAAATTATTAGTCCACCTAATCGCTAAAATTGGACCGCCATCCTTAAAAACCTCTGGAGCCAATCCATCTGGACCAACTGCTCTTCCTCGTTATAGATTAGCTATGGCTTTTTGAACTTTTGTTAATCGGGGGGGGGGTCTACTTCAGCGTTGCATTCAGGCTGTTTGGGAATGGTGCTAGTTGTAGATTAGCTGAAGACCAGCTGGAATGCTCCTTAAAGCTTTTCACCTATCATTCTAAACATCTGGGCTGAGAGCAGATAAGTTTCGTCTTTTTCCTAGGTCGTCTCACTTACACTTGACTTCTTAATTCCATTTTCTTTCATTAGTCTGAAAAGCTGTCTGGTGTTAACTACAACCTCTGCCCTTTCCATTTCTTTTGCTTTCGTTACCCACCACTGCTCACGTTCATTCCTTAGACTTTTTGTTAATCTAGATCTTATTTGTTTTCGCTCGTCATAATGTTCCGAGCCTAAAGGGATAAGTTTACGAGAATATACTAGTGCAATAAACTTAGTAGAAATCCACTGGTTTTTCGTGACCCTTTGGCTCAAAACACTAATAGATGTCGCTGCTCTTTCCACAGCTGTTTGTATATCTTTCCAAGCAAAATCTGGGTCAGACTCGTTTCCAGAACTGCCTAAGTGTGACATCAGTTGTTCCTGGAACCTACTTTTGGTTTTCTCGCTACTCAATTCAGTTCTAATGGGTCTTTTTAGTGTGGCTTTTTTGCGTCCAGTGAGGCGCATGCAAATACGTGCTCGTATTAAAGCATGATCGGAGTCCAAACAGGTATTCCAGAACGAGTGACAATCTTCTACCGACCCTCTCCAACGATGACTGATGACAATATGGTCTATTTGAGTCCATCGTTGGTTTGGTGTAAGGGGTCGCCATGTTAGACGATGTCTCTCCTTATGCTTAAAATTCGTGTTTGCTAAAAATAAACGATTGTCTGAGCACAGTTGCAGCAGACGATCAGCAATATCTGTTCGTTGTGCCGGAACACTAAAATACCCACCTAAATGCCTTTCTGTTTGGTTTAAACTACCTATCTGGGCATTAAAGTCACCTGCTACGAGTACTATGTCTGAACGTTTAGCTTTCTGAAGAAGTTCGGACAGCTTTCTGTAAAATTCATCTTTCATTTAATCCGAGCCGCAGTCGGTGGGAACGTAGGCAGAAACGACAAAAAGGCAACGACGTGTGTCCCTGTCCTTCCGAGTTCTTACAGAGTCGTTCAGCCGAACTGCACATAGATGACTGTTAACAGGGTTCCATTCTAATAGTGCTTGTTCCGCCCTCGTACTTAGTGCTATGCCTACACCCGCCGGTCCAAAAGATTATTAAATGTTCGTCATAGGTCCCTACAAATTCTGGAAATACTTTTGGCAGGTGACTATATATATATATATATATCATTCTGTTAAATTATAGAATAGGGATTTCTCTACTTCAGATATTGCTTCTAGCCTCAGTGATCTTGTTAACCAAGTTATTCTACCATTGGATCAATCAGCATTAATCATTCTTCCATCGTATTATCTTAGATACTGGTGAGGGATCAGTTGTATATGTTTTCGTTTCGTGTACAATCCCTTCTTATTATCATATCAAATTACTTAGTCATATCGGCCTGTTTGTCTCGTCAAAAATCAAATGTTAATGTAGTTTACGGAAACTGTGAATCTTTCCTGATAACCCTACGAATACAACTTCTAGTGTTTCCTCACTTATTTTTCACTCATTATCAATTACCTTCTTAGAAATCATAATATATCGTTAAACTCCTTTGTATCATCAGTAACAGACTTAGTATCTCCTAACTAATCCATCCTTTTTGTAATTTCTTTAGATTCAATACAGCTTCATGTACCTCAGAACTGCATCTCATGGATTATTGCAATATTTTTTTGCTTGTTAGATAACTTATCTTTTTTTATAACTGGTCATCAACCAACATTATCTGGAATTCCATGGGATGCCGCTTATGCTACATATGAAGGTGACCATAATACACGATGGTTACCAGGATTGACTGTTCTCTTGCATTTATATTCAGGTCCTATATTAATTGCTTTCAGTATACCAACGATTCTTATTTTTTCTGCACGCCTTCATCATGTCCATGAGACGGTGATCCATTCCCATCCTAACAATAGCCGAAATACTGGTTTTTACAGATTTGTTGATGCTTTGGATTTATTCATTTGGAGATTTATTATTAGTAAAAGTGTGTTAGTAAGTTATTGGCTAGCGCCCTTAATGATCTTATTTCATGTGGTTTTAAATGCAATAAAAATATCTAGTTTTATTTGTGTAACTAGTACGAGTATATTTTCATTATAATAGGACATATCAAGGCTATTTTATGAGTCAAAATAAGACTAAACTATCTATCAGTAATGGGACTTACTCATGGATGTAATTTTCGTGTTAGCTGAAAACTCCTTCCCAACCAAGGGGTTCAGGGATAGTCAGTCAGCTACAACGTAGGACCAGTCACATATATGCATCGGTCCAAGTTGCTGTACCTCACCAAGTAGCACAACAAGATGAACACTGAATTCATAGAAGTAGTAAATTCAATGGTGGTAATCTATAAAAGAAAGATTGCATATAAGGATATAATACAGAAAGAAAGAATTCGTTCGTAGAAATAAAGATATGAAGCAGTTTTGATCTCGTAGTTTAAGGGAAGACAAAGAGTTTATAAACTTACGCTATTGTGATCTATTCTGAGCCATGTCACTGAGTCTCCAACCATTGGTCACGATAGTCACGCGGAATCCAACCAATTTCAAGGAAAGACATTGTCACCGAACGTTTCTGGTGCTGGTTAACTCCTTATAGTACTTGAATATTCACACAAATTGATCATTCACAATAGACTATTCGGATTCGAATGTCATTGGAAGCATTAGTTTCCTCAAAACTGTAGATAAACTTTGATGAAAAAATGCCAAAAAGAATGGAACTTAGGCTTAGGGATTCCTATTGATCGGTTCCAAAGACCTTACATCGAAATATGATGCACACTATGCTGAATCTTGTAGGATTACAGCCCTATCTCAACTTGGTCAGTACAATGTGATCAACGCTAAATTGTAAACAAACATCAAATTGACTACTGTTTAGTAATCAGTTTAGTAACTTCTTCACTGAAATCTGAATGCTAATTAAAACTATTGAACGTTAATTCAAATGGTTACTAATTGAGTGAACTACGCTGTGAAATATTTCTACATTACTATCCTGAAGTATATATGTGTAAACATTTACAATATTTTCTCATTCTATGTGATAGTTATGCACTATTCACAACTCATGAGATCAACGTTTCCCGACCGTTACCTCTACCTTGACGTGATGATCGGGCTTTTCTGTCGTGATGAAGCAATCGAGCTATACTGGTTGAATAAACCGTTCCTCAAGGTCCTACCGTGCCAGACAGGTCGGTTGACGAGCGGTAAGGCTAAAATCAGTAGACCCAAGGCCTTAGGGCGAAGTCGTACTTCTGCCTGCACAGAGGTGTAGCGGCAGTAAGGTGTTTCCCTCAAACAACTAGCATAACAGTGACTCTGCTTTCTCGTTATGCTCAGCCAAAAACATTTAACTTAGCTAAAGGGTATCATATTATTCGAAGAAATAAAGTCAAATACAATATAATATTTCATGCATTCTTGGATGTATTTCTATAAAGTCAACATTCTTCGACTTATTTAAAGAACTTCAGATTTTGTGTGATATTCGAGTGAAAATATGTTGTGACTTTTAGGCCGGCTAATTATCACGTGAACTATTGGCCAATCGAAATACGACTTATTCAATATTAGTACTGTGCTAAACCAATGACGTTCAACCGGTATGAGCAACCTATCTTCCTTATTGGTCGTTTTTCTTTCTAGTCCTTCCAGTTGAGTCCAGAACTCCAATAACAACTTCCACTATGAGAATCATTTATTTCTAACATACTTGACTTATTTACCAACCAAACAGACCGCATCACACCATAAAATAGGAAATAATACACAAGATCAAGCCAAGATGTGACTGTGAACATGAGAGACTGTAATCAATAAACTGAACAGTATAGTGTATAATAATAGTCTATACGCGTCCACGACCCCGCTCGCGGGATTCGAACCCAGGGTCTTCGGTCTCGCGCGCGAACGCCTAACCTACTGGACCACTGAGTCGGCATCCAATGCTGTTAATGTCTAACCTCAACCAATCCACCGAAATGCGCGACCATCTTCCATTGTACTGAGGTAGACACCTGTTTCTACCAGACACGGATTAGCTCCACTGGTCACGGCTTCTCACCACAACTCCGAGAATTTTCTCACGAAGCTATTCACTAGTGAGCACATGGTAATTATCAGTTTAGGGGTTGTGGAGATTGTTAAGTTTTTTTGATTGAGATCATGAACCGATTGATGTTAGACCACCATTGAAAACCTGGAAGCACTGGACAGCCGTTTCGTCCTACTGTGGAACTCCTCAGCAGTGTGCATCCACAATCCCGCCTCGCTGGATTCGAACTCGGGACCTTCGGTCTCGAGCGCGAACGCTTAACCTCTAGACCACTAAGTCGGCATCCAACGATGTTAATGTCTAACTTTGACTTATCCACGAAATTGAGCGACACATGGATTAGTTGAAGTTAGATATTAACACTGTTGGATACCGGTTTAGTAGTCTAGAGACTAATTTTTGACAAATCACCTTGATTAGCAACTTTCATTCTAATAACCCCATTCAATATAGGCTGAGTATCTGTAAAAACTAATTGAAGTGTTGCTATTTTCTTCACTCTGTGATAATTTACACGAACATTGTTGTTCTTTCTGTTGTAATCTAATCTCAAACTTAACATTCATCTGATATTCTTTTCACTTAATAAAAAATGGCTCTATACGTATTCATCATCAGTCGACCACTAGATTTTCGTTTCACGATCCCTTATTTCAGAACTCAAGACAATCTTGATAACTAGTAAAGTTTTTTATGGGGTGATTGATTTAAACACATAAATGTTGGTACAAAGGGGCACTGAATACATATACACCACTCAAGTCACTTGATTTGTGTATGGGCTGGAATACCACCCGAGTGCAGTAGCCGGTAACCAAAAATTATTTCATACGCCATTTGTTCCCTTAGGATCCTTGAGCCCATGTGCACCATTGGTTTGGAATGAGGGTTTTCCAACTCCCCTAGGTGAATATACCGTGTCCACCAACCCGGTTAAAGCACCAGACATTAACTTTTCGTCCTCTCAATTTCGTAAACAACATCCCCACCGCGAGAAGGCAGTGAGTAGGACTTTCCTAGCAGTGGCTGTTTGCGCATGGCCATGTGAGAGCATTTCGAGAAGCGGGCTGACTCTCCCCATTTTTCGGGCGTACCAGAGCGTTTGGGGGCGTTCGACGTGCAATTTATCTACATGGTTTCTTGGTTGAAAAAAAATCTATATACATAATATCGTAATACACATAGTTTTAATGAATTCGATACGAAGAGATTTTGGTGAGACCATAATTTGCAGATGACCTTTCAGTGACGCCAGTGTGACCTTGAGAATGTTCACCTACTTACTGGGACTAAATGAGGGTTATAAAGCAGTTTCAAGCATAAGGATTATGATTCACGGTTGATGATTAGGGTTGGCAATTAGATTTATTGTTTTTTCATCACGAACTGTGACAACAACTAAAATGTCAAGACGCTATTTTAACCAAATGGATGAATGAATTCGGCACCGAAATCCCTAAATCTGAATCATTCGTACATAAATTATAGTCTCGATCAGATTTCAACTAATGATATTCACTATATTTAATTTGATAACTGCTTCGTTTAACAAACAAAATTTAGATTCATCATCGTGATGATCATTGATCTTGATTTCATAAAGAAAATAACTTGAAAATGACAAGTAGTATGGGACTGAGATGCCCTGGTACGGCCGAGAGTGGGGAGAGTCCGCTCTCTTTCTCGAAATGCTCTCACATGGCCACGCGTATATAGCCTCTGCCAGCGAAGTCCTACTCATTGCCTTCTCGTGGCGGGGGTGTTGTTTACGAAAATGAGAGGACGAAAAGCGAATGTCCGGCGCTTCAACCGGATCCCAAACCAATTGTGCACATGGGCTCCAGTATCCTGAAGGAACAAATGGCGTATGAACCAATTGTTGGTCACTCGCTACCATGGGACTGCATCTCCTTACGATACTCCATTGCCTTGTGGATCAGACCTTCAGGTCGAAGGTTCGGGGTGTGGTCCCCTACGAAAACCACCTGTTTCGCTTTGGGCACCCAGGCTGTATCACAGCCCTCACACATATCGAATAAGATTTGTGTGGCGCATATGTATTTGGTGCCTCCTTGTACCAATATCTATGTGTTAAAATAAATAAATAAAATAAAATGGGACTGAAAATGTGAATCATTGAACCTAATTGTTTATTTATTTGTTCATTCTAATCAACGGACGAACAATATTCACTGATATCTTTACCGAAAAAGGAATTTTTTGTTTGTTTTTTTCATTGTAGACTTTAGGTTGTATGCTAAGTACTGGTTTATTACGTCGTCATTTAATGGTATGGAAGTTATTTGCACCACGTTTATTATTCTCTATTTTAAGTTTATTTATATCAGTTGTATGTCTTCCAATGATTCGTTTTTTATTTGTCTATTGTTTTCATCATAGAATTTGTAACATTTTACAAAGTAAATTTAATATAAATATGTGTGTATAGGGCTACATACGTTTGTCAATGTAATTACATTTACTCTGTTAATCTATTTATATATTGGTTTTATTCAAAATCCATACTTACATTGTTTGACTTGTTGTTGTTGTTGTTGGTGTCATCGTCAATATCAGTAAATTTGATGTTGAATGGATACTTTCTGTTGTATAATTATTACTCTCTTTCGTTTTTGATACTTACTTACGCCTGTCACCCCCCCATGGAGCATAGGCTACCGACTAGCGTTCTCCAACCCACTATATCCTGAGCCTTCCTTTCTAGTTGTTATAATTTCTTTCTTACGGTTATGACCCAGCTATTCCTATTGCTTAGTATTCTCGGACACCGATTCACTCGACAAGTCCCCAAATCAGAACACGGTTGAAGAAGAAAAGAGATTATATTCCAAATAACAAGGTTAGATGGAAGTAAGAAGCAAGCCAGTAGTCAATAGGGAAAACACTAGTATATTTATAGTTTTTCACATGAGATTTCTAGTGTTCACTAAGTATTAACTAACTCTGATTGGATGTGTTCTTTGATCTTCCTCTTCTCCGTTGAGTTGAGGGTTCCATGTGTAGGCTTGCCTTGTGACGTAGTTGGTTGCTTTCCTCAATATATGTCCTATCCACTTGCAGCGCTTCTTCTTAATTTCTTCCTCCGCTGGAATCTGGTTTTTCCCTCTCACATTAGGTTGTTGCTAATAGTGTTTGGCCAATGGATCCGAAGTATTTTGCGTAGACAACTGTTAATAAACACTTGTATCTTCTGGATGTTGGCTTTCGTAGTTCTCCAGGTTTCCGCCCCATTTGTATTCTGAAGATCATATTGAAGTTGATTTCAAGAACTATGAATTTTTTGAATAGGATAGAACTATTAATAGTGGAAATGTTAAGATAAATGAAGTGAAAAATAGTAGTTTTATCTAGGAAACTGGTATTTATAGATAACGTTCGACTTTCATATCACTAACGATTCTACAATTCGTACACCTTTTGGTAAAGCAGATTAGATATTATGGGTGATTAGATATTCGTGTAGAACTATTCTTGGTTTTTCTATCAATTTCACTGCGTTTTAGCAAGCGTATATTATCTCTTGAAGGGTGAGACTATAATTTATGAACGATCTTTGAGTGACTCTAGACTGACCTTGAGAGTGTCCATCTAACAACTAAGATCAAATGAAGGTTATAAACCAATGTGAGGAATAAGAATTATCAATTATTATTGATGGTTAAGGTTAGGAATTAGATTTAGGGTTTTCATCACGAAATGACATCAACTATGATACCAAAATTCTTTAGCCAAATAGATGAGTGAATTTCGCTCCCAAATCCGAGACCTGTAATCTTATATCTGATTGGTTCGTTCATAAATTGTACTCTGGCCAAAAAAATTATCAAAGTGAAAATAACCTATTACTGAGTAGTGTACAAAACTTCACATTAATTAATAGCTGAGTACTTCATCAGATAAAACTATAATATAGAAGGATGCAAATTCATAATTTTGTTGGTGAAATTACTTGATAAGTTTATGGTTACAATTATGAAATTTTTCTACAATAAACAATTCAAATGATTTTTGTCAAGTCTGATTGACTTAATGATGATTATGAAAGAATTTCTAATGTCATACTTTTGTTAATTTTTGCAAAATCAATAGTAAATTGTTTCACTTTATGGATACATGACATAAGTGAAATTAGTCAATCAGATAGATACTTTCTATGTACTTAAATTAATGGTTATTCTGATTGTCGGAACGGACATCAACCTCGTGACTTCCGAATGGATTCTGCTTTCATCATGAGACGTCATGACTCTTCTAAATGAAGATATTGTAACTCCCAGGGCAGAGTTTGAATTATTTTTACTGGTTAGCGTTTTTTTTTACTGAGTTGGTTTTCTACTACATGTGGTCGCTAGCCCCATGTCCTACCCACCTCCTTAACCAGGGCTTGGGACCGGCAGTAGCACAAGAGGGGCTCCAGGCGAAGATAATCACTAATCAAATTTATTGTAGCATGTATGAAGTAAAAGTAAATATGATAATGTTAAACAAGTTAGTTATTCATGGCATATTCAAACAATAGCTGATCAAGCTCGAGATGAAATAGAAGTAGTAGAGATTTCTACTTACTAATCATAAGTTGCTATAATGTAGTTAATAGTATTCTATTTCGTCTGCTTAGATCATTCGGGTTTGCTCGTAGATGTAGGGCTTCAGTTATTATTTCTTTGTAAGAAATATTTATGAAAGATAATTGTTTCATTGTGTTTAATACTATCGCTTATTTATAAATCATTTTCATTAAATGGGGATTTAATAAGAAGTTACTGAATGACATCATTCTATCCAATATTACAATTATTCCTAAACTTACCCATTTCATTGTGTGGGAACTGAAGTTATCAAATACATTCAATTAATAAATGAAATACCTGACAAGTTTAGCTAATCATAAATAAAATATAATGATAACTGTTGGGGAAGTTAGATCCCCAGAACTCACTTGGAAAGGTACTAGTTTTGTAATTTTATTTTGAAAACTTGAATTTCTTTGTTTTCGCGTCAAAAGCGCTCTTTTCGCCTTCATGTCGGTCGGTTGTATCTTTTAGTATACTATTTTGTAACGCTTCCCAAAAACGGTTTTTGCGCTGTATATATACGTTTTGATTTGTGTCTGTTGTTATCGCTCGTGCTTCTGGCTTTTTGCGTAATATACTTCCCCGTTTGGACTTCGACTTCTCTCTCTAGTTGGCGGGGCTGGGACGCTAGCTTATTGGTCTCTGTTGCGTTCCTAGAGTAAGTGAACTCGTAATCGCTTCAGACATAGCATAACATTTAGTGAATTCAATAACCAACTATTGATATTGTTGTTCGAGAAGTTGATTAATTAGTTCCTATAGTGACATGAGTTCTGTCAGTGAAGTTATATCAAGCAGAATAGTCGGGGTTGTCCACAGCATCATACATTAGGCTTAGTTTCAATGATATGTCATGCTTAATTTCATTTTCTTGTGAAAAAAGACTTAATCGATAAACAGAACTGGTACCATACTGAAAATATATATCGTTTATTTATTTATTTGAACACATAATTATTGGTACAATAGTGCACTGAACACATATGAGCCACACAAGTCACTTGACTTGTGTACTACCCGTGTGCCCAGATCGAAGTATACGGTTTTATTAAGGTCTACACTCGAAGCCTTCAACCTAAGGGTCTGATCTGGAAGACAGTGGACCAACGTCAGGAGATGCAGTCCCATCGTAGTCCGTGACCAACGGCTGGTTCACACGACATTTGTTCCCTCAGACTCCTGGAGCCTATGTGCACCATTGGTTTAGAATGAGGGTTTTTTCAACTCCCCTAGGTGGATCCTCCATATCCACCAAAACATCTATCAATTTTCATGTATTTCTTATTTCATTCCCATCACATCTTTATTCAGTTATTTCACCACACATTAGGCAATGAGACAATGAAAGTGCCACTTGAGTGTGAATAAAAAAATCTAAATAAGTTTATAAGATAGTTCCTATCGTGTAGTATATCAAATATTTACTCAGCTAGGTTTTTTATGCTTTCCTATGTATAATGTATCAGTAATGCAACGGAAAAATAGAACAGATCTTTGAGTTGAATAGGGGCCCATGTGATCAGGCCATCTATTTTGAGAAGCAGTTTAATCACCTATTATGATTATTGACTGTATAGGATGAATGACCCATCGGCCAACTGTGCGATTACCGTTTTCTGACCAATGACAATGATATAACGACCGAGAACACTACATAATGCCTACTGGTGCTGGTTACAGTTTTCCACACCCGATAGTAATACTAGAATGAGAAAATAGCATGCAGATAAACGTTCACAATACAGTTCAGTTTCTAACTCGAAACTTGTGTGATAACGGATTAATTAGGTGATGTCACATCAGTATAACTAAGGCAATGCACTATGTGTGACGTTTAACGCAATAGTACTCTCGTAATGAATCAATAACTTGGTGAGAACGCAACACCAAACAATAATTTATGCACTCAGCCAAGAAGAACGCTTGTGAAAAACATTTGTTTCATACAGAGAACGACTTGACCCTACTAGTACGCTGAAACGAAAATATCAAGTGGAAAGTACCTCTACGATACCGGAAGGTTTGGCCATGAATACAAAGTCCACATGAAATGCTTTGACAAAACAGGTTATAATGATCGTTAAATGCTTGCGCTTTCCAAGTAGCTATGCAAAAACTTCACATGTCTATATAAAGATGAATTCAAATCAGTCAACAACTTCATTCTTGAACATTTGATCAACTCAGTTTTGCTTTGGTGTCAGAAGATGTAGTGTCTTTGGTTAGAGTCTGGCAGATCATTGGTCGGCATGACTCAATATTTGTTAAACTGACCAGATTGTATTTAATTTTCATCGAGAGTCGCCGTAATCTTTCATACATAACTCCTTTTTAAAGCAGATTTGTAGTGTTTAGTCTTATTACGTGATAAGATGTGTTCAGATAATTAGACCGTGAAACGTATATTTGAGAAAACGAAAGGATATGAAGATAAATAAACGAACATAGTATGAAAAATAATAATAAATACAATCATTTATTAAGGCCAAGTGAGAGATAAGGGTGTTACAAATTTCTTAAGAACACAAAGACTTGGATTATTGGCTCGGATTCCCATAGCTTTTACTATTTGTAAGAGACAAGATTGAATACTGTAAGGGAAACTAGTACGAATATGATAAATAACTTTAAATGACTTATACAAGAACTTTCGTGTAAATTTGATCGAATAGTTTCACAGTATTTGGGCGCCGAGTTGATGTAAGACATTAAAAAAGAAGGATATATTTGTAAATCCTCAGCGATTGAATATGAAGTAAATCCAATGTTTCGCCTGGCAGTCTGGTCCAAGCTTTCTCAAGGAAATATAATCAAATATCAAAATGATGGAATATAAATAGGTACATTGTTTTCCGGTTCATGACTTTTTTCAGTCCACTACAAGATATTATTACCCTTTCCTAACCACAAAGGGAGGTGTTCACTAAATTTTTGGTTCAGTTGTTTGGTAATGCGCCTAGTATAGCTTTCTCCACAGGAGCAGCTGAATTTGTAGATACAGATTGAAGTGGTATAACCAGTTAACTTATCATTTATTTGTGGTACATCCAGCTGACGAGTCCCAAATGGGACGAAACGCGCATCATGGATTCCACTACTAACCATTACCGATCTTTGTACATAATACTTGTGACTTAAGACAGTATCAAG